GACAGAGGTGGGGAAAGCCTCTAGTCTGCCTTACGCAGACGTTAGGCTACAAGGCCAGAACTGAAGTTTATTAAGGACTACAGGACTGTATAGAGCAGCTATTCCATAGCAACAATCTGCTAGTACAGGTTTATCCTTGGTTCCTGCAAATCCCCTTATCAGTGGTTTTTTTTTCCTCCAAAGGCTGTCAATTTGAAGCAGAGAAGCATCCAAAAGTCCCTTCGCTAACATTCCCATATTTCCACTTATCTTGGCCTCTTCTTCTCTTATCATGGCTACTAAGTTTGGCATTTCTAAAAATAACCAGCTAGCAATGGAAGCAAAACTCCCGGGAGCCCTACCAAACCCTTCAATCCTCCCAGCAACGCTTCCGAGTCTAGTCCTAAGGTCTCCCGAGCGCACCCTGGCAGCAGGCAATCTCTGAGGCAGCCCATGAATCAACATCTGATAGGAACTATGAGACACTGATTACTCAAGTAATTTATTACTTCTAGGCTGACCAAGAGGCTATTTACATGAGCAAATTAGATACTTCAGAGTACCATTGAATGTGTCCTCAAGCTTTACCTCTGATTTATGTGCCAGCTCAGTTTCTCTCCCCTTAATATGTTGCTCATTGCAGCCGAATTTAACACTGGTATGATGCATCGCATTTACTTTTAGAAAGTTCTAAACCTCCTTTTTATCCATAACTGCAAAAGGCAAAGGCACAGTAGTTTCCTTAAACATATGAGACGGCGTGCTCAAGCAGTACCAACAGACTGGGAGATGAGTCACCAACTGTAATAAACGATTTTATCTCTCGTGGAGACTACAGAGAATAGGTGGTATTAGTTTAATTTCTATTCACAGCTTTGTGATTGTGGATTCCTGACTGTTGCAGTACGCTTAGAAGAAAGATGTTGGGATCAGTCACCCCCAACTGATCATTATGGTCCTACTGATCTTAATCAGGAGGCAATCATGAATTACTCACTTGTCTCCCATTTACATGTTTCTATCAAGTTATTTCACAGCACTGCCTGATACAGAATATAAAAATGTGAATACTTCACACTGAAATATGCCACTGAATCAGCCCCGAGGGCGAATGAGTTTTAGCCCTTTCTGAAGCGAGAAATGAGCCAGTACAAGACACGACACCTGACTTAACAAAAAGGGACATCCGCATTTCTAGGGAAGTGAAATAAGGTTTTATTTTATTTTATTTTTTAAATTAAGAGTATTGACTAGCTTATATGTGCGAAAAGAAACAGAGTAAGAGGAGATAAGATTATGTCTGAAGTCCTCTGAGGAGCCTGGATAAAAGGAAAATTTGCTCTGACAGCTAAAATTGAGACCCTAATGGACACAGTCTGAGATGTCAGGAAATGTGGAATACCACCTTTGTCAGGAACGGCAGCAAATCACCTGCATAGGAGAGAGACGTTTCTAAAGTAACCTCAGTAAAAGCACATCAGCCATGTTTTTTTTCTTTCCTTCCTGTTTCTCATGAGCACTTGCAACTGTACTGCCTGTTTTGGATGCTGTACAGATTAAGGTGAACTCTAACCTGAGCTGAACTTGAACTGCTCGTCCTAGTCGTGAGCTCTAACCTATAGCCAATGCTCAAAACCCTTCATGCCGTCACCTCTTTATATACGTTAAGCAGGTTGGGTGTGCTGGCACTGTTTAGTTGACTAGTATTGATGCAGCCAGAAGGTAGCAGACTGGAAAATAATGCTGAAGAAAGGACACTGTTAAAGGACACATTGAATCAAAGCATTAATAAAAACATACAGTATTAATGAGATAGAGACAGTCCTGTAGAGAGACACCTTCAAAGCAGCTCTCCATTAAAAGCTTCTCTCTAGACAGTAGTCAAAATTTTGCAGTATGCTGAAGACCTAACCTTGCAATGCCTTCCTAGATGATACATCTATTTTGAAATCAAAATTGGCAAAAACAAGTTCATCCTCCAACAGAGAAATAATTTCTGGCTGCCTTTTTTTACTTCAGATAAAACCAACAGGAGAACTGAAATTCAGGTGATAACATCTCCAAGGAAACAGCTGGAAAGCTTCTGTTCTCTGCAGATGCTGTAGTACTCTGTTACAACACACTGCACAATACCATACTTTGCACCCCCCCCTCGCCCCCCCAAAAAAATCTGATAAAATCTTGGTAAGATATCACAAACTATGTATGCAGCAAGACGGATTTCTCGTACTGTGCCTCCGTGCACAAAAATATATTTCTTCACATCAGTTTGCTAATATTAGTAATACGAATGCTTTGACAAGTCATTTTTTAATATTTGCTATACTTTTTCTGTTCTTGTCAAAAGAAGTGTTTAGTACAAAGGAAATGCTACTTCCTCTCTCCAGACATCCCAAGCCAACACGTTACTAGTCAAAGGAGAGAAACCGTTTTCACTTTTGCGCCTCTTTTTATTTAGAAAGACCTGGTATGGGAATTTCATACAGTTCAGAAATGTCCTGTTCAGACCGACTCCCACGCAGCGGGACTAGAGGTTTGGCATGAGCCTTCAGAAAACCAGAAACAGGGAGTCTGGAGAACATAGGATTGTCTTTAAGCATCTGGCTATTGCCTACACATTGTCCTCACGCGCACTGGCCCCTGTGACAAGTACTTGCCGAGATGACCCACTTGTGCTGTTCTACTTCCAGTGACGTTACACAGCTGAAAACACACTGCGAGAGGCTGTTCACTTCGGCACTCAACAACCCGGATCAAAGTCATGCGGCTTTTTGTTGGTTTTTTAGGGGAGCAGGGGTAGGATTATAATTAAAAGTCCTCTACTACAGCCATCCTGCTAAAGTTCGCCAGCGTAAATGAATCTTAGGCCAATAGGAGTTTCTCCTCCCAGGTTGCCAGTTTCCTCAGCTATATAACCTATACGCCTGTAAAAACTTCCTATAGCTACTATACCTGCTGATAATATTCATACGAGCGTGTTACCAATAAGTATAAACTCATGCACCAAGGCAGCCCGGACCCTGACTTCACACACCCGACCCCATGGGCTGATGCCGCTCTCCTTAGCCACAATGCTTTGAAAATGAAGCGGGAGAAAGGGCTACAGCTCTTTCTTATACAGTGCCCTTCATCATGATAATGCTTAATGCATCCTAAAAGCACACCTGTCCGCCATAATAATGGTACTTGCAGAAAGACTCTAAAACGATGGCTGGCAATTTTCTATACTCCTAAGTTCTGGAAAGCAGCCCTCCGCGATAACGACCTGCGACGCGGCCAAATCAGCGAGTTCAGAAATAGCAGTTTTTGCAGGAAGAGGAACCCCATAGTCAAGCAGCCGGTCTCCTTCATCACTAAGAGCAGGATGGTTCCCCGCAGCGTGTCCTCTGGCATGTTGCTCACAATAATAGTATTGTACTGGGCAAAGCTAGGCTGGAATTTGACTCCATTACTAAGAAACATCTGCTGATGCTCATTTTTCTACCTAATACGATGAATGTTCACAGCAGTGGCGCTGGCTGCACTGGGTTCATTTTCAGATTAAGTTAGGGGGAAGGAGAAAAAAAAAAAAAAAAAAAGGATAAAGCAGAGGTACCTGAAATAACAGCAATTTTCCATGACCCATGCTCCTCTCTGGCTATTCTTTCTGCCTCCTCCATTAGCAACATACCAAATCCCTATAGCGGAAGAAATAAGGGGAAGAAAATAAAAGTCTCGTTAAAAAAGAAAACATAAGCAAGGTCAGATTTCAAGCACTAGTATAGACCTAAAAGACTGATATTTTTGGCAAAGGAATGATCAAAACCTTATTGCAGGCGAAGGCAAAAAGGCTTGAGAAGAGTTACTGCACAGAGGTGTACTAAAACTAACCTTTACAGTGGAGCTCTCCCAAGGTTTTTTTCCAATCAAATTATTTGTAGGTAATTCTAATGTCTGACTGCTTCCCAACACAGAAAAGAATGAAGTTAAATCCATTGATTTAAGTCCAGTTGGTGTGCATCCCAGATTTCCTGGCCCTGAACAAAGCTATCCTGCTGAAATACCCAACCCTGAAACAACCAAGATGCATCTTCACAGCTCCCTTACTAGACCCGTAAAGGCTGGGCTGGATTTATGCTAGTGAGTTAACCAGAGCCAGAGCACGGATGCTGGCACGCCATTGTCTACGCTGCTAAGAGGATCCCTACCACGATTTTGACAGGGGACACCACGGATGTGGCCAGACTTCAGCAGCTGGCTGCAGAACCAGAGATGGGCCCCGGTGCTGCTTACTTTTCTGATACAGATGTTATCTTAGTGCCTTGCAATCTTTATTTCCACAACCCCTCCAGGAGTCAGGGGTTATTAACATTTCTGAACAAAGAATCAAGGCACCCAGCGACCATACGGCTTGTCTGGGGCCACCCACAAAGCCTGCGCTGAACGGCTGCGCGACCTGTGGGCCTCTTTGCAGCTGCAGATTCGTGCTCAAACCCTGTACTGCTCTTCATAGCTCACGGCACAACCGTAGGGCTCAGCTCGTGAAACAGGAGATGCCAAAGCACAAAGAACTGCAGAAGAACACGTTAACATCCTGGAGCAGAACCAAGCCTCTTTTTTACGTTTGGAAGTCTTGCACGGCAGGAGTGCTACGGGGACCAAAACAATGCTTCAAAACCAGGGAATAGCTTTTCCACTCTATTTAATAACTTAGGTGGTCCTATACTCTGAATAACTGATTGGATTAATTCACATCTAACATTAGGAGGCAGGAGTTATGCTTGGCTCTTTGTTCATCTATTTTCCTGACAAGATGTACAGACTCAGGCTATGGTGAAACTGAAGTGGATGTGATTTAATGCTAAAAACATGTAATACTTACAGGCGTTTTTAAATAACACATACAACTCTTCAATCTAAAACATTCTCCTAACCAGAAATTGTCCCCACCAATTGCAAAGAACACTTTCTGCTCAACCTCTTGATCACTGACTATTCTGAATGAACATCAGTGCGTCATATGCCGTGAAATCTCAATTTCCAGTCTATTTTAATGTTTGCAGTTGGCTACTTTCAATTGATTTTCCTCTCTCTCTCTCTCTTTTTTTTAAAATACTTAGGATGACCACTTTTCCCTTTCTAAATTTTGAAATGTTAACCATTTTAGAATGGAAATATTTTTTTTTTTGCCTTTTTTCTTTTTTTGTTTCTTTCCAGCAGCTGCCTTATGGCTATACGTCATCACTGTCCAACAAAATTGCATCTTAATGCATATACGCAGGGAAAGATTATTAAATACAAGGAAGTTAATTTAAAACATCAGCCCTGAGCGCTTTTGGCACAGAGGACAAAGTGATTGCTTTTTTAAAAAGCTCAATCTTAAAGTTTAAAATCTGCTGGGGCCTAAACTCAATCACACTAGCAAAAAACCCAGAAGCCACAGGATTTTAGCATGTGAAATGCAAGAGGAGGCTTGATTTCAATTCTGTTCCCACTGCAGCAGACTATAACCCAAAGAACTGAACAAATCTCAAAGATTAAATAAAATTTTGCACCAATTATATTCGGGAGGAATGAGAAAGAGGCACAGAGGAAAAATAAAGATGGCCTGGAGTACCTGATGCTGAAATTTCGAAGGATCCCGACTGCTCACTGGGACCACGCTCCCGTACACGTGCAGCTCCCGGACAATGGAAACGCCTCCTTTCAGCTCAGGTCTGAATGACTCCTCTGAACACTTCCGCAAGCGCAGAAGGCCAACGAGAATATCCTGCTCTGGATCTTCATAGGACAGGAAGGTCTCCCAGCCACCGTTAGCCACATAATCTCTTCTAACTAATTCAATCTGGTCAAAGAGAACAAGGAATGAAGAATACAAAGAGGGAGAAAAAAAAAGAGAAACTTATGAAAAATATTTAAGCAACATGTTGAACAAACTAAACCCAATTTCATGGATCCATAAACTATTATGATTCAGAGAAAACACGAAGCGCTTTCTTGAAGCCCAATTTAATTCTAGATGGATTTTAGCAGTAATGGATAAGAACTGAAGGAGCTATTACTGCAGTCATATTAAAGATAAAGCAGATGACTAATTTAATAGAAATATATTTGCCAGCAGGACAGAACTAGTCTTCTATGCCCATCTGCAAGCTTTCCAGAAAAGCTGGTAACCCATATAGCTAGCTGGGGTCAGTAAGAAATCTAAAACTATTTTCCTCAAATTACTCAGGTTTCACAACCACTGCAAAATCAATGGGGGCAGCAACTCCTTCCACTAACCAAGGGACTCGCACTAACTTAACTTCAACTCCAATTACAAATTAGCTAATGTGGAATGAGTAGTTTCACACCTGCCTTCAGTGAACTTGTATTTAGGCCACCTCTCTATTGCTCTGCAAAAGAAAAGGCTTGAGGTGTCTACAAAAAATGGTCTTCCAAGCAGCAGTCAACTCCCTTACTAATTATGAATTAGTTCTCTCCAGCAAATGTGCTGGATATACCTACATTAGCAATTAGTGTAGGGCAATAGGAGCAGATCTGAAATGGCTGGTGTTGAGTGAGTAAGAATTCCTAGAAGTTTTTGCAATGCATCAAAAATTACATATGTTATAAAAATATTGTTACTCATTCAGATAGCATTGGAGACACCAAAAGCATCTGGACAAGTACACTGTCAACTGACCAGTAACAATATATCACTTGCCTCGAATTTAAGTTATTGATAACAATCTAGATAAAGGCAGTTCTGAAGACCACAATGAGTAGAAGGGAAAAACAAAGTGAGATTTGACTGCCTGTGGAGAACACAATAAAGACTGTACTTGGGTAGAAGAAATTAGTTCTGTATATCCCTAGAAGCTTTAAAGAGTAACTGAAGGGTAAGAATAGAAAGAAGAAAAACTTCTTTTTCAGAGAAGGTAACCCAGCACCCCAGGGAACCTAGCATCACTCAGGAGCAGACCCAGGACCCAAGAAACAATGCAAGATGAGACTTCCCTATGGCACCATGAGATCTGATCAAATCTCATATAATGGTAGCTGCGCTTATTTGTAGTGGAGTTAACGCTCAGTTAATTTGATGTATCCCATTGCTGATACAGGCTGGCGAGCCTGGTAAGGAGGGCTTTAAACTAGGAAAGATAGGAGAAGGGAAGTGGTATAGTGACAGGGTAGTCAGTAAAACACCGCTCAAGTCAGGATGCCTCAAGCAGGTGCATGCAGCCAGGGGAGACAGCGTGGAACATGGCTACGGAGGATCCTCTTGCACCTCTCCTGGGAAGCTTACATGCTCGACTGGCTCTCTGAAATGCCTGTACACCAGTGCACGCAGCATGGGGAATAAGCAGGAAGAATTAAGAGATCTGTGTGTGGTCACAGGGCCGTGATCTTGCTGCAGTTACAGAAACGTGGTGGGATAGCTCACATGACTGGGACACTGTCATGGATGGCTATGTGCTTTTTAGAAAAGACAGGCCAGGAAGGCAAGGTGGTGGAGTTGCTCTTTGTGTGAGGGAGGAACTAGAATGTGTGGAGCTCTGCCTCGGGGTGGATGAAGAGCAAGTTGAGAGCCTATGGGTAAGGATTAAAGGGCAGGGTAACACGGGTGACACGGTGGTGGGGGTTTACTACAGGCCTCCTGATCAGGAAGAGGAAGTCAAGGAGGCCTTCTACAGACAGCTGGAAGTAGCCTCATGATCACAGGCCCTGGTGCTCATGGGGGACTTCAACCACCCTGACATCTGCTGGGAAGACAGCACAGCTAGGCACAAACAGTCAAAGAGGTTCCTGCAGAGGACTGATGATAATTTCTTGACACAGGTGATGGAGACGCCAACGAGGAGACGTGCCCTGCTGGACCTTGTACTGACAAACAAAGAAGGTCTGGTTGGAGATGTGAAGGCTGGGGGCAGCCTTCGCTGCAGTGAGCATGAGATGGTGGAGTTCAGGATCCTACGAGGAGCGAGCAGGGCAATAAGTAGGATCGCAACCCTGGACTTCAGGAGAGCTAACTTTGGCCTCTTCAGGGACCTACTTGGAGGAATCTCATGGGGTAGGGCTCTAGAAGGAAGGGGGCTCCAGGACAGCTGGTTAATATTCAAGTATCACTTCCTCCAGGCTCAAAAGCAGTGCATCCCTCTGAGTAAGAAATCCAGCAAAGCGGGCAGTCCACCTGCATGGATGAGCAAGGAGCTCCTGGCAAAACTCACACAGAAGAAGGAAGTCTACAGAATGTGGAAAAGGGGACAGGCCACGTGCGAGGAATACAGGGACACTGTCAGAGGGTGCAGGGATGCGACAAGGAAGGCTAAGGCCCAGTTGGAATGAAATCTGGCAAGAGATGTCAAGGACAACAAGAAGGGCTTCTTCAAATACATCAATAGCAAGAGGAAGACTAGGGAAAATGTGGGCCCGCTGCTGAATGGGGCGGGTGCCCTGGTGACAAAGGAGACAGAGAAGGCAGAGTCGCTGAATGCCTTCTTTGCTTCAGTCTTCACTGCTAAGGCCAGCCCTCAGGAATTCCAGACCCTGGGCACAAGAGAGGAAGGCTGGAGAAAGGAAGACTCTCCCTTGGTTGAGGAGGATCAGGTTAGAGATCTTTTGTCCAAACTTGACATCCATAAATCCATGGGCCCCGATGGGATGCACCC